GCGGCACCCGGCGTCTGCCGGGGAGACCCCGCGCGGGAGCCCCCCTCCAGCAGGCCGCAGACCCTGCGACCGCCGCCCGATAACCCCGTGGGGATGGGCAGCGCTCCGGGCTGCCCCCCGTGGATCCCACAAATCGAAGGGGCAGGAGATTGGTAGAAAGACGTTTGTTTCCGAATTCGAATCCCGGGAGCAGAGCCGGACTCCAGGTCTTTCGAAAACGGTTCTGCTCCACTCCCCGCTTCAGACCTCGCAGTCCACTTTTGTAGTCCGGAGGTGTCCTACCTAGGCGTTCGCCACGTGACCCGCAAAGCGTGGTATAGAGGTTACGCTACAGCCTCACTTTACATTTAGGTAGTGACATTTAGAGTAAAGGAAGCTTACCAGGCCTAAGACATCATGCGTTGCAAAAGCTATGCAAATCACAAGACTTACGGTGACATGGATACTATTTTGTTCACACCTGTGCCTATGAAGAAAGGGAGTCAGCCGATCTCGGTGGCTCAGCCTGTAATCCCGCGCCTTTGGGAGGCTGAGGTGAGGGGATTGCCTGAGCCCGCGGGTTCGAGACCCGCCTGGGCAGCGAGACCTCATCTCTACAATAAATCACAAAATCAGCCGGGCGTGGTAGCGCGCGCCTGTAATTCCGGCTACTCGGAAGGCTGAGGCGGAAGGATGGCCGGAGCCCAGCAGGCGAGGCTGCGGTGGCCGGGAGCAGCCACTGCACTCCAGTCTGGGCGATCGAGTGAGACTCCGACTCAAAAAAAAAAAGGGAGTCAACAGGGATTTTGGGCCTAGTCGGCAGGGAAGTCAAGGATCCCTGAAGCTACTTACTGGAGTGCATGGAAGACAAGGGGACGCTCAGGACTGTGCTCAAGAATGTGCAGGAACTCCTGAACCCTTGCCATGCCCTTCTCTAGGGGTTGTGGCTATATGGACGAACTTTAGCGGTCCCTGTGTCACTGTGGTTATGCCCTTGTAGACCCTGCTGGCCCATAGAGGCCTTGAAGGTAGCTCTGGTGTCTGTCCTGGTCAGTGCTGCAGCCTCAGTGAATGAATGGGAGGGAGAAAGGAAAAAAAGAGGACGGTCTAATGGCTGCAACTGGTCCAAGTCAAGTCCTCCTCTCCCCCGGCGGGAGCTTCCAGTCGGGTCCTCGGATGGGAAAGGTGGATGTTTCCAGACCTTCCCCTGTTTTGGCTCCTTCTCCCCATGCTTCTCCCAACGGACTCATCCTACTGCTCAAGTCTGAGCTCAAGGGTGGGAAGTTGAGGGACCCAGGAATCATGAAATGAGGCAGCCTGCACCAGGGAACTGCCTCCAAGACTTCAGTGGCCACCCCATTCCACACACTCACGTGGGTGCTTTCCCTGGAAGCTGCACCCGAGAAGAGAAAACTGACACAAGGTCTGTGGAACAGGAACCAGGCCCGTGCCAAGCAGCATGCCACTGAATGTAATGCTGGGGGGGATCAGGAAGCGGCTGGAGCTGGGGAGGGCGGACTAGTGGCCTAGAGGCGGTCTGTGCACCTCCCAGAAGTTGTTTGCAAATGCAACCACTGATGGTTTCTGTCCCTGTAGTTTTGCCTTTTCCAGAATGACCTATAAATGGAATCATATAATATGTAACCCTTTGAGGGTGGTGGCTCGCCTCCTCTCCAACACCTCAATTCCAGTGAGTTTTCAGAGGAAACTGCAGTCCCAGCTGCCACAGTAAGTTCAACCTCACGAGAGACCTTAAACTAGAGGCACCCTGCTGAGCCTGGATCCTGGCCTCTGGAAACTGAGATAATAAATGTTTGGGGTTAAGTTTTGGAGTAATTTGTTATGCAGCAATACATAACTATCTCAGTGGGCTTTGATGAGGTTGAGAAAGTTCACTTTAATTCCTAGTCTGCTTAGATGTGTTTTGGTTTTTATAAAAACTATGAATGGATGTTGAATTTTGTCAAAAGCTTTTCTTCATCTGAGATGACCATGTGATCGCATCTTTTTTCCTTCCTTCCTTCCTTCCTTCCATCCATCCATCCATCCATCCTTTCTTCCCTCTTCCCTTTTTCTTCTCTCTGTCACCCAGGCTGGAGCGCAGTGGCACAATCATAGCTAATGGCAGCCTCCAACCCCTGGGCGCTTGCCTCCTCAGCCTCCCTGGTAGCTGAGGTTACAGGCAAGGGCTATTAGATTAGTTTTTGATTTTTCTTATCTATATTCAGTATTCACTTATTTATATCTATATTCAACTATCTATTGATATAGTGAATTATGTTGATTTTTAAGATGCTGAACCAACTTTTCATTCTTGGTATAAACCCGATTTTTTAATGATGTTCTATCATTTTAATATATTGCTTGCCGGGCTCAGTCGCTCAGCCTGTAATCCCGCGCCTTTGGGAGGCTGAGGTGAGGGGATTGCCTGAGCCCGCGGGTTCGAGACCCGCCTGGGCAACTTGGCGACACCTCATCTCTACAATAAATCAAAATGAGCCGGGCACCTGTAGTTCCAGCTACTTGGACGGCTGAGGCGAAAGGATCGCCGGAGCCCAGCAGGTTGAGACTGCAGTGGCCGGGAGCGGCCACTGCAGTCCAGTCTGGGCGACAGAGTGAGACTTCAACTCA